AACCAGGTCTTCAAGAGTCAAGGGGATGAATCCTTTTAGAGTTTTTATCTACACTATGAGTCCTACCTATGAGCAGAGTATGAGCTCAAACAGAGGGTATCAGTTGGTGAGGTTCCCTCGTAAGTCCGAAAACAGATGAGACTTCTACTTGCAGTTACAAAGATATTTATTATAGAAATTGTACAGTTGCAGCTCCCGACTTTGGCTCAAGGGTTCAATTTCTAACATAACTTGCAATCTAGCACCTGCAATGCACGGAGATAACAACTAAGGGCAGTGACATACTCTCACCTAGCCCCCTCCTCCCGCTTCTTCTTTTGTTAAAGGAATCTGTCAATACAGTGCGCGATATCTTCGAATTTTGGTTGTTCTTTCAATATCGATATTCGCGACTGGCATTGTCCAACCGTACAGTTATCCCATTTTTCTAGTTTAGGTTTTTATCATGAATATATTTAATACGCGGGAGTTTGGGATTGATTAATCTACGCATTGCCGATATGTTCCTGATGTTTCTGAATTTTTTAATTGAGCAGAGCCTAATGTAGGGGAAAGTCTGGCCTACTAGACCATCCCAGAGCATTCCGCGCCCTTCCTTGAAAATACTTTTGAAGTATTTGCTTGAAAACCTTCAGAAAGTCAGACTTTTAGTTGCGTAATTTTTTCTTCCGCCCTAATGCATTCAAAATTTTTCTGATACATAGCCTGATATGAAAGAAAGTGTTCGCTTCACATGAGACGTAATCCAAAATTTTCGTCATTTTCCTGAAGATATAGCATCGCCGCAAATGCCTCAAAAAATTGATCTGCATACAAAATTTGTTCTTCTCAATATATATTTACAATAGTGCTCTCAATCTAGTTACATTATGGGAGGTTGTCTACTCTCGTAACCAAATGATATTGAAGTCCCACAAATCCGCGAAATACTCATCCGCACTTCCAACGTACCGACTGGTACGGACCAGACAATATTGCACCATATTCCGCCATGCTTATACATTCTGAAATTTTGTAACATCAACAATAACTATCGTAAGAAACATTGGGTTGCGCCTCACTCTCATCAACCACCGCGCCGGGGGGGGGGGCGCGCCCGGCCGGGGG